CGTCAACGGGTCGAGTTCTTCAAGTCTCGACCATGACGTCGAATCCCGGCGATAGTTGGCGGCGAAGCTGCCGAATCGGTTGCCGATGGTGGTGAAACTGTGCACGCGGTGGATTGTTGCACGTGGAGTGGCTGGTCCAACGGTGGGACAAAGTGGACAGCGTAATCCTCGTAAGTGAACCAAGGACTCGCGGCATCCGCATTCTTCCCAGATGTGTAGGAGGCAGATAGCAAGGCGGCCGAATCTGGCGGCGTGAGAGGTGGAGTCGCCTCACCTCCCGCGCAACTCAGTTTCCCGAGTTGATGCAAGGTCGAACATCCTCCTTGCTTGATCCTGGCATTGAGAGGTCTTGTGCTTGGTGCTGTTGCACCAATAGCAGCAGCCATACCGGCTGCGCCACTTGTATTCGGCCTCGGTCAACTTAAACTTGACCCATGGTACTGGCTGTCCGTTTTCGAGCCGGCAATGCGGTTTTCGCCCTCCCTTTTCCACGGGAGTTGTCGTTGCTTCGCAGCTGGACAACGGCCACCTGATCTCCCCCACGTGATGTTGAGGTGGTTGTCGGGTCTTCCACGATGTTGTCCAGTTGGACTGCAGCGACGAGCTGTGGACGCGGACCAAATTTTCCCTTCTCCACATAGGCTGGCTGCCACGCTGATTTCTCACGTGCAGCAGCCCGGTTGGTCTTGATGATCTCGCGCGCCTTGTCAATGATTTCGGCAAAGGTCGTGTACTACTCACGATCACCGAGTGAGAGGCTCAAGGCGGCACACGACCAGTTGTAGAACTTTCGACGCAGATGCGGAAATGACAAGTCGAGATCAGGTGTTGCCACGATCTTTTTCCATTCTGTGAGCCAATCGCACATCGATGTGTTGCCTTGAGTCGTGATGAAGAGGCGGTTGATGGCGAGTGTCGGGGCATTGTCACAATGAACCGCTTCTTCCATTCTCTCATTAGATCTTCCCAGGAGATCTTCTTGTGTAAGTTGTTGACCTGGACGCCGTGGATGGTTGTCAAGTGGCTGAGCCAGATTTGGCATCCGCCCTTGACGTTGAGGAATAGCGCCGCAATGTACAAATGGTCGAGGACCTCATGAATCCCAAGCTCCAATGTAAAGCCTTGCCACCAGACGACTGGGTTCTGATGTGTATAGTCATCAAACTTCTCGATCCGGAACGTCGGCATCTTGTAGTGCTTCGATGCACTGGTGCTGCGATCATTGTCGGGCGCCTAGTGTGGCTGCCTGAGTTCGGTCTGCAAGGTGCCGAGTTGCTCGCTGATGGTGGTTGGTGCGGCGAAGGTGCTGATGTCGCCGAGCATTGCGACTACATGGTCAACTCACTACTCCAACTGGCGGGTCGAGGTTGCATTGCTGGGTTCCGCAGCGTCAAGTCTTGGTGCTGCTTGCTTCAAGTCTTGTACATGGGAATCAAGTGCCCCTGTAGCACCCTCGTGCAGATCCTTGTGGTTCCGCACTGCCCATCGGAGGTTCTCCAGTTCCTGGTGTTGTTTCTCTTACTCGGACTGCAGGTGGTTATAAGTATAGTTTGGAGAGGATTTCCTTGTGTTGCTCTTCCGGTGTTGCGTCGTCATGGTCCTTGGATGGTTCGAAATGCCAGAACTTAAAACTTGTCGATGCTGGTGGCTTCATACCGCTGCAGCAGATCCTAGGCCTCCTTGCGGCGGGCCTGGGCGTCTGCGTCAGCTGCGGCCTGAAGCCGCTGTTTGTCGGCTTCTGCCTCTGCTTCAGCCTGTAGGAGGGCAGCCTCGGCTGCCAGCCACCTGGCGTTGTACTTCAGCCTCTATCAGTGCAAGCTGAGCTAGAACCCGCTGTCGGTACTCGTCAATGGACTCGTTGGCCAATTGGCCTGGCATGCCCAAAGCTGAAACGGTCATGGTGGCAGGCCACTGCTGACGTGGCCCTGTTGCTGACGTGGCACTGCTGATGTAGCACTGCTGACATGGCACTTGCTGACCTGGCACTGCTGACATGGCACTTACCAAAAACGGGGATGCAGGCAAAGGGTTGGGTGGGAGGGAAAACGCAGGAAGGTAACCAACCAAACTGTACTTTCCTCCCGGTCCTAATCGACAGACTAAAATAAAAAATAAAAAATAAAAAGAGAGAGAGAGAGAGAGTTGGTGGAGGCCAGGGAGACTTAGCTGTGGTGCCATAGCTCCAGCTTCGTCTTCGAGGTACCTGCAACCAGGCGCCACCTTCACAGGTTAGTACCGGACACACACACACAGAGAGAGAGAGAGAGAGAGAGAGAGAGAGAGAGAGAGAGAGAGAGAGTTCTTCTTCTTCCTCTTCTAAGTCCACTATCTCTCCCTCACCCTCTCGCTACTTGACTTCTCAGTATCTGCAGACTACGAGAGAGAGAGAGATTGGTGACTTTGGGACTTGATGACATTTGGATTCAGACTCGACATTGGGATTGAGACATTGGATGAGGGATTATTTGGGACCTGTGCCGAAGACTTGGACGACATTCCCATCTTCCCCTCTTCTTCGTCTGATCCCCTCCTCTTCGTCTGTGTATGGTCTGGACCTGGCGTCTTCTTCCTGTGTGTAGCGCCAGGCCCTGCGCACCTTGCGATGATGATGATGTATGTTTGGTCTGCATTGCGACATTGATTGGTCGGATCATTGGTATATTAGCCTCCTGCTGCGCTATCTTGTACTATGTGGCAGAGGTCGGTTCTTGTTCTGGCCTATACCGTTACGGTATGCGACAGTTTGGTATCGGAGCGGACCTGTCAATCAGAGGATCCGCCCAATCAAGGAGTCAGCTTCCTTGAATGAATGAATGATTGATTGATTGATTGTTTGTTTGTTGATTAATCAAGTAGGGTTTCATCAAATCTCTGCAATTTTTTTTCTTTTTTCTACTGCTACAAATCTCTGCAAATACGGATATTAGCATTTCGTTTTCACTCTGAGCATATTAGATGAACTAGGGAGGTTGTCATACTCTCGGAAACTGGATCTATGCTTCTCTGAAAGTAGAACCTCCTTTCTATTTTCTTCAAGAGCGCTTTTTCTTTTTTTTGGAAAGCTGAAACTTTGCGAAACCTTGCCTAGATCTCGCTCATAGTACTCCTCCGTGATGCCTCACTAATAGCTGATCGACAGATATTCAAAAAAAAAAGGAAAAAAAAGAGGGGGGGGGCGTGATTCTCTCTCTCTCTCTCTCTCTCTCTCTCTCTCTCTCTCTCTCTCTCTCTCTCT